AATGATTGATTGTTTTGGATGATGTAGAATGCATTTTTAGGATTCTGCTTCTCTTTAGTATCATCACTGTGGTAATAGTGATTATCATTTAGCTACTACCAAAAATTCTGGTTATATTTAGGTTTTAAAGCTACTTGATTCCTAAATAATAAGACACTGAATGAATTAAAGGTGTTCAGGAATGATTTTTTTTTAGCACTGGAAATGTTTGAACAATATTTTTTTCTTAAAAGAAAGCAGCATAGCTGTATAAATGTAGAAGTCTGAGAATGCTGACATCTTATCTCTTGCATTGGCATTTATCTTTGCTTATTAGGAAGTTGCGTTATCAAGAAAGTTAAAGAGTAGGTGTAGGTTGAGCTATAAAACCCAGACAGATTGCCACATGCATGTCATTAGGTCTGTATATAGAACTGGGGATGTGAGGTGTTTGGAACGTTTAATTGCCCCTTCTAGAGACAGCCTCAGTTCTCACAGGCTCTTCTGACTCACGCATCAGCTGGTCAGACCTTTGAGCAGTTCCACTTTTTTCAGTTGACACCCTCCATCCTTTTCTGTGTTCCCTGTTTTGGCTTTTCTATTTTGAGTCTGTGGTCCCTAATTCTTGAATTCTAAAGTATTTGGGTGAAGAAATACTGACCCCAAGGAACTGGCAATGCTGTCATTGGTGAGCTCAGCTGACAGCATTGCTCATCATTCCTCTTATCTTCCTGGTCCTCTAGCCTGATGCTCTGGGGTCAGCCTCCCTCTTGTGCTACTTCCTTCTAATCTATCGATTTTCATTCTATTTTTAAAAACTTGCACCCTAAAAAGAAATATTTAAAAGTATAAATAAAACTAGGAATTTATGATCTTACCACCTAGAATTAACATTTGGGAGTATTTTGTCCTACTAATACATGATAGAGCTGTGATTGCCTAGTGGATAGGGAATTGCACTGCAAATTTAAAGGTGGGCAGCTCAAATCCACCAGCTGCTTCTTGAGAGAAAGAGAAACAATTTATAGCCTTTGAAAACCCACTGAAGATCAACTATGAATTGGCTCTGACTCAATGGCAATGAGAGAGGAGGAGTAATGAATTTTTTTTTAAAAAAAATGTGATTCTTAAGATTATCTAAAAAAAAATAAATATTATCTACACTGCCTGATTTTGAGTTGTGGTACAATTATCTACCTGGTTGTAGAGTGAGTCCAAGTCTGACAAAAATGAAACTGTCCAAATTGCTTTATAATATAATACAATACACCCCCTGTTTTAAGAACTATAACATAATCTGCTTTATAACATAACATAACATAACATAACATAACATAACATAACATAACATAACATAACATAACATAACATAACAACATAACACCCTCCCTGTTTCCAGAGGTATTTAAGCCATATTAAGCCAAGTCAGTACTTAAGGCAGCACCGTTTTGAGGAGAGAGAGAGAGAAAGAAAAAGAGAGAGAGGGGAGCGAGTTGGATCACCTAGAGGAACCTGGGACCATTGCAAGCCCATCAAGCTCTGGGCCTCAAAGGAAATACAGAAGCTTCTCAAGAAGGGAGAGGAGGAAAAGTATGACTTGCCCTCCCTTTTCTTTCCAATCTCCTTCCAATATCCCCTATTTGCAAATTCAATCGGAAGGCAGTGGACACAGATGTTTACAAGATTAATTAAGCATGCAGTAGAGCGACTCATAGCGACCCGTAGGGTTTTCAGAGGCCCTGCTATTTCAGAAGTGGATGGCCATGTAGAGCAGAGCAGGGTGAGGAGTGGATCTGAGAGAAAACAAGCCACGCCCTGTCACAATGACTGCTGGAGCCCTTTCTGGATCCAGGGACAATTGGAGATAGTACCTAGCATGTAGGCCTGGGGAAGTAGAAAGTGCTGGATTTGAATCCTGACTCTGGAATTTAGTAACTCTGGGTCTTTGGCAGCCACTTGGCTCCCTCGAGCTTTAGTTCCCTTGTCTAGAAAGGATAGAAAACAGTATCTTTATCTCTCAGGGTCTTTGTGAGAGTTAAATAGAACAATAGCTACAAAGTGGTAGTAAGCATTTAGCAGTTTCTTTTCACCTATTAATTGATAATCTTAAGACAAAGGTCAGTTAGATATTTGGCCCAGGCCATCAAGCCTCAAGCCTCATGTTTTTTTGTTTAGTTTCCCCTCCCCGAAATTTTTATTTATTTATTTATTTTTTTCATTGTATTTTGAAAGATGGGAGGGGGAGCAGAAGAATCTTTCCTTTTTTAACAGCTATATATTTGAGAAGTTGAGAAATTGTCAAACAAAGAAACTTACTGGGAGATAATTTAAGTATTATACAGAATTGATTTTTTTTTTCATTCCACAAACATTCATAAGTACTAAATATTTTCTGGATATTATTTAGATAAACAATCTGTTAATGGATAGAATTGCTACCTTATTGTCCCCTGTCTGTCTGCCTCTTTCTCTCCTACTAACACAGGAGCGGGCCAACAGGAAAGCTTCTCAGAGTTTATAGGACGAGAAGTCAAGAACAGATGCAGCAAGGTGAAGAAGTCCCCTTCTTAGAAATGCAAGGGATCCTCTCCTTCCAAACGCCAATAATCCCACAGGTCCCTAGGTGGGACTAGGCTGGGATCAGTCTCTGGAGACTGGGCGCCAGTAAAAAGCAGTGCCCACCTGAAGCTGCCCCCTTTCTCTGCTGGCTGCCTGCCAAAAGGTTTAGGTCCACCCCTGTTCCAGGTGTGTTTCTCCCCTCCCCCCTCATTTTCCTTTTCACTTTAACTCCTTCACATGGCCTATCTTTATCTTACACCAACCATGCCTCCTTTGCATTGCCTTAATAAACCCTTCTCACTTGTTTTGGTAAATTACCACTGTGTGTATGTCTGTTCACTTATTTACAGTCACCTCTACTCACCCCCTCCCAGGAAGTGTTGGTGGGCAGTGAAGAGATACAAAGAACTCTAGATTTCGCATGCTTCACTACCCTCAAGGAGGTGCTATTCTACCAAGCTAACAATGGGCAGAAAGATAAATCACAATACATAAGAGCTTGGGAATGTCCATGGAAGTGAAAAATAGGGTATCTCTGCTTAGGAAAGAGGTAGTGGCTTTAGAAAGGAGGTGCCTTCAAAGATAAGCAGGCTGATTAGGTGTTATTTGCATGACAACAGTCCAGAATAAGAGGTGCACTGCATATTGGACTGTAGGGTGGGGGAAAGGGGTAGAGAGGAAAATGAGCAACAATGAATGAATGGAAATCCAATTTTTCTATAAACTTTCATTAAAATATTGATAAAAAATTAAAAAAGGATAAACAAGTGGTCACTATTCAGGGAAGCAAGAGCAACAGTAGTTGAAAAAAACCACACAGCTTGGAGAATGGTGATTTTAAAAATTATTATTATTATTATTTTGTGTGTGTGTACCATCAAATTGGATCTGACAGGTACAGGAGGAGATTGCCCCTCTTTCAGCAGAGCATCTGGTGGATTTGAACCACATACCTCTGGAATTGCAGTGCAGCTTTTTGCCACTAGGCCACCAGAGCTCCCCAGGGAATGGCTTCTTGAGGGGCATGATAGAAGTAGTGATGTGAACAAGTGGCAGATGTGACTGAAAATGGAGAAGAAAACTAGCATGGGAAAAATCTGATTGTAAGAACCTAACACTGTTATCTGATCTAGCAATTCCACACCTTGGTATATATTCCAAAGAAATAAGAGTTATTATAGAAACAGATTTAGGTACACTTGTGTCCAGTGCATATTATTTACAAAGACAGAGAGATAGAAACAACCTAAATGCCCATCAGTGGAAGAATGAGTAAGGAAATGATGGCACATTCACACAATGGGGTGTTACTCAACATTTAAGAATGGTAACACTGCATAACATCAAAGAATCTGGAGCAAATTATGCTGAGTGCCTTAAATTAGTCATACAATGACAATTATGGTATAAAACCACTATTATATAAATCTAAGAAAACGTTCACACATAGAGAGGGTCATTCTTGGATGGCTGTCAGGAATGGGAAACCAGAGAGAGGGAAGTAGAAAATTAGTAACGAGACAAATTGAATGAAGGGAAAGACAATATATAATTAAGAGTTGATCAGACATAGTTATTAATCATATTGACCAATTGTAATTAACGTTATAAAACAAAATGTATATGAGTAATTGAATGAAATATCAAATATTATTTGTAAACTTTCACTCAAAGTTTTTTGTAATAAAAATAGCTGGTGGATTCAAACCACATGCCTTCAGGATTTCAGTTTCTTGCCACTTGGCCACCAGGTCTTTCAAACAGATAAGTTTTAAGGGAATCTAATGTCTTTATCTCATGGGAAATGAGAAGCCAGCAGAAACTTTCAAACTGAAATATAACCTATCTATAACCTTGAACTTCATAAAGTGACACATCTCCCCAGCTTCTCTCCTGGCTCCACTGAAAGGCTGATGCCTGCAGTTTTATAAAGCAGGGGCCATGTGCTCATCTCACAGGACATTAGAAAGTATGAATCAGAAAAATGAACATAGAAGTTTTTCCTTAATATGAAATTCAGAATGGAAAAGGCCATTAACTTATCCTGCAGACACTGAAGGGCGCAAGGTAAATATTTAAAATGTTCTCCCTTTCGTGTCCACAAAGCCAAGAACATCAGAGGTGTGATGGAGAGCCTTGTGGCTACGAGACAGAATTTCAAGGATTCTGATGAAATGTCTGTTGGTCTGGACCTGTCTGAATGTTGCAAAGGACTTGGTGCACCATAACTGAAAGGATACAGAATGACAGTAATATAGCCATTTATCCTTTTCAGAGCCCCTTCATACCCATTATTTCATTTAAGCCTCATAATAATTATTTGTGGTAGACAAAGCCCATTTAAGAGATGAAGAAATGAAAGCCTGAGAGTTTCATAGCTTCTCTAGGGTCAGAGAAGTTGTGTCCAGTTGGATTTCTAGGCATACAGACCTTCCTCAAACCCAAGACATCATTCTGCCTACCTCTTTCCTCCCATATGCCAAGATGGCTTCTTGAAGGTCTTGCAGCGTATGCAGTTTGAGATCTAGACTCTTCCTGTGGCCTTTGGAATGGTAGATGCCTTTTCTTCTCTCTTCTGGTGTCCATGCTGATATGGCTAACCCTTCTGAGTAGAGGATGAGGGCGCCCTTTCGAGTGCTGAAAGTTTTTGGAAGAAAGAGGCTCCAGGAGTCCTGGGGGTCGTCACTCTCATCTTGTGGTCTGCGAACTAGGACATAATCTTCTGGGGACTTCCAGTTCAAATAATCCTGTGGGGAACAGAAACCAGTATTGACCAATCCTCTTAGAGGTCCTTTTATAACAGGTGGTGTCCTTATGTGTAGTGCAGGCATTCACCAGAAGGTGGCTGGTTTAAACCCACCCAGAGGACCACAGGAGAAAGGCCTGGTGAATCTGCTTCCAGATGATCACAGCTTTGAAACCTTACAAAGCCAATTCTAGTACTCCCGGGGTTACCAGAAGGCAGAGCTGACTTGGTAGCAGCTGGTTTGGTTTAATAGAAAATACTGCTCATGTAGGGTGTTTGCCATTTACTCAGGTACCAATTTTCTCTTAATTGTCCATGCAGAGTCAAGAAACAGAATCACATTTTTTAGCAATTGAGTTTGCTCACCATGTCTCAAAATCAGAACCCACTTCTTGGTTCTATTTTACCTCGTGTGACTTTAAGGCGAGCCATTAAATAGGGTGGAGTGTAGGTTACAGGCCAGTTAACGTTTCTTGGTATGCAAGTAAGTAGTCAGAATTATCAAGGGCAGCAGATAACTTTGAAATTAGACCCGGACTGGCTGGCAGTTTAAATAGGAAAAAACCCCTCTATTCCAAACTCGCCAGCACGTCAGCTGTACATAAAGAGAATTTCTATACATTCCAGATGCTATGTAACATTACCTAATTTGGCTATTTAGGAGCCTGTAAAGTAGTTACATATCTTGTAAGTAAGTAAAATGCCATTGGCCACCAAGGCCCTTTGAAACTTTATATGTCTTTTAATACAACAAAGGTCAAAGAGCATGACAACCACTATGACAATGGAAATCTCTGTGTGGCACAAAAATTCTCAAAGTGCCCCAATAGATCTCTTATTCCTGGCAGGATTCAATTAAACAAAATTCCAGTACAACAGGGTAATTTTGCCACCTCTTTAAAATCTTTGAAAATGGGATTTTTCTTGGCCTGTGTAAACTATGTCTTGTGGATTGAATTCCAGAGAGTTTAAGGGAGCCATTGAAATGACATTAACATATACAGCGTTTCGACCACATTTCGGAAACCCAACAGCCATCAGCTTGCCTAGAACCCAAGTGGAAATTCTGGTCTTGAAACAAACCACCTGAATTCCAGACGATCTGGAATCTCCTCCAGTCTAAAGCTGACAGGGCTGGAAGTAGATGCACAAGAAGGAAGAGGTCCCAGTGGCAGAACTGAGGTGTCCGGCAAAATGTGCTATTTTCTTGTCTTTCATGAAAGAGAAGAAAAGGTATACTAGTCACCCTCACCAACACCTACCAAGACACATACTGTTTACCCCCAAATGAAAAAATGGAACGCTCTTCCCCCATGCCCAAAATGTACTTTACTTCAGCAGAAAGACTCACCTCTGGTTCAAAATAGACTTCTAGCTTCTGTTTGTTCTGGACCGACTTCCCATGTCCTCGGCTGAGGAGTGAGAGCGTGAACATGTTCGCCTCTGACCACCCCTTCTCAAGGGCAGTTCATCTTGGTTTTGAAGGCTGAAAACTCGTCACACCTCAAGGTTTCCTAAGCTCAGCAGCCAGCTCGAGAAGACCACAAACACTGGGCCTTTTATGAAATACATTTTTCCCTCTTACAGCTGCTTCTTAATAACAACCAGCCACACAGTTTAGACAGTGTGTGTCTTTGTCAGGAGGAAAAATAAACCACATACCCAGACTCCTCAAGCCCTGAGTTGTTTACTCCCTGGACCACCTCACCCTCTCCTGAGCCCTCGTTGTCTCTCTGTCCTGATTGCTGTGCTACTGAGCCGTGTGCATCTGTGCATTGGGCCACAGAACCATCCTTCTCATTGTGAGCAGAGGTTGTTTCTCAGTTGCTATGACAGCACAGGGAAATGGAGTCCAGGAAACCAGCAAGGCAAGGCAGAGACTGCTGGGGGCAGTGTTCATTCACTCGGGTGTGTGTGTGTGTGTGTGTGTGTCTGTGTGTGTGTGTGTGAAATGGTCACTAGAGGGACCAGGCTCAGATTTCAAGTCCTGACTGGGCAGTGAGGGGAGGAGGCAGGAAGGGTGTGTGAGGACGATATCAGGATCTTTCTTCTGTTCTAGTGCTCATCTTGCTTTGAGAGAATGTTTTCTCCCTTCTGTAATATGTGAGCCTGTTACTATCCTCTAACCATTAGCAAACTCAGTAGGGCTGACTAGGTCACCTAGAGCAACCCCCACCTGTGACGTTGTTGGCAGAACTCCAGCGTGCCCTCAGCTAACATGAAGTCTCATGATGTTAGCTGCTGTTTTGCATGAATGAGTGGAGGATCCTGGGAATCTCTAGATTCCTTTGCACACCTGGCTGTCCACAGGGCAACCCAAAGTGGAGGGGCAGGCAATGTGGACGGGTAGCATTTTGGTTGCCACAGTGACTGAGATTACAGCTGACAATTAGCAAACAAGGGGCAGAGATGCTAAACATTCAGCACTGTGTGGGGTTGCCCTGACTAATGAAGAATTATCCCACTCCACATGCTGGTAGCAACACCTTGCTACACACCTCGTACCTAGAAACACCACTAAGATGTGGACTGTTTGTTCTCCTTGCCTCTGAAGCTGTGAGCAGTAGAGGACAAGAAGGCAGAGGACAAGAGGAAAATACTTTTTTTATTGGGGATGTATATCTTACTTGGGTCTGCAAACAGCCTCTCCTGCCAATGTCAACTGAAAGGCCCTGACAGCCTGGTGGGAGTGGTGCGTTCTGTATACTCCCTTTATACAGAAGGACAGCAGTCTTCAGGCTAGTTGACTAAGGATGATAGAAGGAGAATTGATCCTTTGAGCTGTGGTGCTGGAGAAGAGTATTGAATATACCATGGACTGCTAGGAGGACAAACAGGTTCATCATAGAGAGTGTGAAACCAGGCTGCTCTTTGGAGGCAAGGATTCTGAGGCTTTGTGTGACATACTGTGCGCATGTTGCAAGGAGGGACCAGTCCTTGGAGAGGGATATTATGCTTGTAAGGGTGAATGGACAGTGCAAGAGAGGAGACCCCTGGATGACATTGATTGACTCAGTGACTGGGGTAATGGGGTTAAGTGGGACAGAGACGATAAGGTTGGCTCAGAACAGAGCAGGGTTCAGAGCTGTTGGTACATAGGGTTGCTATGAGTCACAAGCGACTCGACGGCACATAACAATAACAACAACAATAACAACAATACCTTTTTCTGGGCTCAGTGGTAGAATTCTTTCCCTCCATCCTGAAGACGCAGGGCTTAACAGTTATAGAGGCTTGTGTGCTGTGACTTGATGGTGGCAAACAGCAATATGCTTTTCCCACAGTACTTGGCGGTGCAGAACCTTGGATGTTAACTCGAAGGCGGGAAGTTTGAGTTCATCCAGATGTCTCAGAAGAGACACCCAGTGAGTGACGATGGAAAATCCAGCCATTGAACAACCATTCTGCTGCCACTTGTGGGGTCATTATAGAATTGACTCAGAAAACTATTTTCTTTAAAAACCTTTTTCTTTATTCTTGTCTTTAATGCTTTTTCCATGAGGCAGCCTCAAATGGCATGCTGAGGAAATAGAGCTCATACTACAAAATTAGATTCAAGCCAGTCCACGATGGGGCTTGTTATAGGAAATCAAACTAGTTAATCCAGAAGTTCAAACTGGATTTAGCACTTCATAATCCTCAAACCAAAATATCCAGAGAAATTATAATCCTTGAGCACATATTTGTGCTCACACAAAACTTATGTAGAGTCCTAGAAGCATTTGTCCCAACAGAACAAGAGTACACTCTATGCTTTAAAATCAGGAAAAGTGTGAGTCAGGGTTGAATCCTTTCTCCATGCCTATTTAATCTTTAGTCTGAGGAAATAATATGAGAATATGAACTATTTGAAGAAGAATGTGACATCAGGATTGGAGGAACAACTTGCATCATGCAGATGACATGACTTTGCTTGCATAAAGTGAAGACTTGAAGCATTTGCTGCAGAAGATCAAATCCTAAAGCCTTCAGTTTGAGTTATGTCTCAATATCAAGAAAACAAAAATCCTCACCAATGGACTAATAGGCAACATTATGATAGAGAAAAGATTGAAGTTGTCAAGAATTTCATTTTACTTGGCTCCACAATCAATGTCCGTGGCAACAGCAGTCAAGAAATCAAAAGACATTTTGCATTGGATAAAAGACCCATGTTGCTGTCAAGGACCTTTTTAAAGTACTAAAGAGCAAGGGTGTCCCTTTAAAGACTAAGGTGTGCCTAATACAAGCCATGCATGATATTTTCAATTGCTTTCTATACATCTTAACATTGGAAAATGAATAAAGAAGACCAGAGATGCCTTTGAACTGTGATCTTGGGGAAGAGTATTTAATACTCCATGGACTGCTAAAAAACAAAAAAAAAAGTCTGCCCTGGAGGAAGTACAACCAGAGTGTTCCCCAGAGACAAGGAAGGTGAAATTTCATCTCAGATACTTTGAGCATGTTGTCAGCAGGGCCCAGTCTTTGAAAAACACATAATTCTGGGAAAGGAAGAGCTTCAGAGAAAGAAAGGAAAACTTGCAACAAGATAGAATGACATAGATTGACACAGGACAACAACAATGGCATGACAGATATTATGACGAGGGCACAGGATAGAACAAGGTTGAGGTCTCTTGTTAATGGATTACAGTGAGTTATAGTCAACTTGATGGCACCCAACAACAATCCTAAAACCAGTGTTATTTTTTACTGTGATTTAAGTGAAGGTTTACAAAGCAAATTGGTTTTCCATTCAATCATATACATTTTGTTTTACAACCTTAATTATAATACCCACAATGTAATCACACTCTTCGCGTCTCTGTTTTGTGTTACTAGGGTGCTAATGTTCTTAATGGAATGAATTAATATTTTCTACCCTACTCCTTCCTGTCTTCTGGCCTTAATCCTCAGACAATGTTGCTCTTCTGACAAAATATGATTGGTGATTCCAGTCCCAAGAGGGGCGTGTCTGCCTGGTGTTACTGTCTATGTTATAGGTCAACACATAGGCTGTTGTTTGGCTGAAAGTGGAGCCATGGGAATGAGTTTTACTCCAGCTTTAAAGGATGACCAATGGCCATAGTCCTGGGGGTTCTCTTCCATGAACCCTGACCATTTTTATGTTTTTTAGTTTGGTTCACATTTCTCCCCAGTTTATCCAGGATCTCCTACAGTGATTCCTTTTAGAGTGGTCAACAGTAGTCAGCTTTTTTGAGGAGTGACATGTGGGCCTGAATCCAGAAAACCAGGGTTCTCTATTCTACTGCTCCTTCCTTTCTCCCTCATCCATTCAATGAGAAGAGCTTTCTACAAGACTTTACTGAGAAAAATCAACAACAAAACTTGACCAAGAGATTGGCACATGAGGGACACAGCCATACCCACACACAAATGACCATCAAGCTGACCCTCCCAAGGGAGGGCCAAGGTTCTAAATCTTCATGGGAATAAACTGCATTATTTTGCTCCTTAAGAGTAGCTGGTGGTGTTGAACTGTTGACTCTTCAGTTTGCAGCCTGACATATGACTCATCATGCAGTGCCTTAAATTTGATGGTAGTGGGTATTTGTGGAAGGCCATGAAGCATGAAGAATGTTAGCACCCTGGTAACACAGTAGTTAAGCACTGGACTAGTAACCAAAAAGTTGGTGTTTCAAATCTACCACCTCTTCAATAGGAAGAAGAAAGGGAGTTCTGGGAGCCTAGTGTTAAGAAGCTGCGCTGCAAGCTCGAAGGCACCAGATTCAAATCCACCAGCAGCTGTGCGGGAGAAGGAGGGGAAATCTCCTCTCATTTGATTAACTGCCTCGGAAAACCCACTGGAGGGTCAGCTATGGGTCGGTTCCTACTCGATGGTACACAACAATAAATAATAAATATAACAGCCTCAGAAACTGATGGGACAGTTCTACCTTATACAGAAAGATTACTACAAGGCAGCATTTAACTCACCAGCACCAACCCCACCTCCCCGCGCCCCCCGCCTGCCCCTTTTAAAAGATAGTTTTTGGGAAAAGATGTGAAGGGAAAGTAAGGAAGAAGGCTGAAGAGGGTTATTGCAGGAGGCACTGGCAGGAACATTTGAGATCTCTGGGGAAGGGTGATTTCTTTGATGCAGCCAAGACTTAGATCATGTGGACAGAGATGTGACTGTAAATCCAAGCCAGCTGGCCAAGGCCATGAAGGCCATGAATATCCTGCAAAGGCACACTGAACACTAATCTTCACAGGGTTTTCACGCAGATGAGGGATGTGATTTGATCCTAGTTTTAGCAAGATAACTCTGGGAATAAGATAACAGATGGATAGAAAGAAGAGCACTCATCCCATAAACCTGTGAGTGGAATTTCTCTCAGATCCTAAGGAGTTTGTTGATCTGGTCAGGAAAAACCATAGCAGGGGCCAGGCCATACCAGATGATGCAAAATAAAAATGTAATTTCAAAAT